ATCAAATACTTACTTCATCGAAGATAAATAGAGGATTATATTCTTGTCCATTTTCTCTGAGGATACGTTTCTTCAAAAACATGCCCCAAAGTTCCAAGCAACTATCAATTTTATTTCGCGAATGTATTAGTAATTATCTACTCGGTAAAACTGCAAAATTGTCCAAATTGTGTAACAGCAAAATAGTCCAAATTGTGTAACGGCAAAATTGTCCAATTTTTTGATTCAAATCTAAACCGTTTATCGAGAGAAATTTTGTTAGAAATGTATCGAAATTTCATGAAATATTAAATAAAATGAAAGACACACACACACACACACACACACACACACACACACACACATATATATATATATATATATATATATATATATATATATATATATATATATCAGGTCTTCCCATAAGTTCTGTCCGAATTTTGAATAAAGAAAACATGTAACCAAATCTTACAGTTAATTACAGATTCAATCAACAATATATTTTCCCTGAATATCTATGACTTCCTTCCATCTATTAACAAGCTTACTAATTCCATTACTGTAAAATTCTTTTGGCTTTGATTCGAAGAACTCACAAATGTCAGTTTTAACTTCTTCCTGTGTTACAAAAGCTGTTTCTTCCAAATGATTCTCTAAGCTACGAAACAAATGGTAGTCTGAAGGAGCAAGATCGGGAGAAGAATATGGATGAGGAATTTTCTCCCAAGCAAGTTCTTCGATCTTTTATTACGTGATTCTTGCTGTGTGGGGTCGGGCATTGTCCTGATGAAACATCACCTCTTTTCCATTCACTAGAGCAGGTCTTTTTTCCTCAAAGCTTGGTTCAAACGCTCTAATTACTGACAGTATATTTGAGCATTAATTGTTGCATTAGGTGGTAAAAATTCAAAGTGGATTATTCTTTGACAATCCCACCAGATTGAAAGAAGAACGTTTTACCCATGAAGTTCCCTTCTCGGCTGTGGCTGGAGTCCTTCCCCTTTACCAAGCCACTACGACGCTTAACATTTCGATAAAAGATCCATTTTTCGTCGCCAGTCAGAAGTCTATCCAAAAAAGGTGAAACAAGTTGGCGAGAATGGAGAAAAGAGCAGATTTGAGGTTGTTTTCAGACAATTCATGAGGCACCCATTTTCCAAGTTTATGAACTTTTCCAAGTTGTTGAAGATGACGATGAACAGTTGTATGGTTTGAACTGAGGACCACTGCCAATTCCACAACTGATAAAGCAGGATTTTCTTCAAGGACTGCTTCAATAAGCTTTTCATCAAACTCAACTGGACGTCCGGTTCGATCTTCATCTTCAAGTGTGAAATCTCCACCTCTGAATTTTGCAAACCATCTTCTGCAAGTTCTTTCATTCACACATTCCTCTCCATAAACTGAGTGAATGTTTCTAGCCGCTTCGGCTGCCGAGTTTCCTTTCTTGAACTCATAAAGCATTATGTGCCTCAAATGATTCTTAGGTACTTCCATGTTAGCAGGGTTTTAATCAAACAAAATTTAATTTTATTGTTATCTGAAATAAAATTTGAACAGTTTAAATGCACCTAAACATAAGAAATAATGTTCAGCTCCATTAGACCTTATAAAATACTCTTTAAATTTCGTTCATTTTAACAAAAAGTTATAATTCGGACAGAACTTATGGGATTACCTAATATATATATATATATATATATATATATATATATATATATATATATATATATATATATATATATATAGGTAATTCCAGGATCATTTTCCAAGTTAATGAAGATGAACTTGCCCATTCTAAACTTATAACCTTCTGCTTTGGAGTAAAACTGCCCTCACAGTTTTTTCCATGCGGTTTTCATATTGAAGTCATTTTTCACTGCTTTTGGACTGTCACAGGCGAAGTTCCTCTCACACTTGCCAAACGTCTCATGGATTGAGTTGGATCTTTTCTAATTGATCTCTTTAATTGAAATGGTGATGCCTCATCCTGTTGTGACCTCCTGATCCAGTTTTCCTCTTTACTGGTCCCTTTTTTAAAACTATACGCCGTTCTCTTGATGGTTCTTGAATAGACTTTGAGGATCTAAGCCAGAGTATGAATGTTGATAACATTACAGAAGGCCTTAATGATCTCCCGATTTCTCATTTGTGAAGACAATGGGTCTGACTCAAAGCAATTTTAACCTGCTCATTTTAGCTGAATAGCTCAAAGTTTTGTACGGTGATTCTGACAAGAAATGATGTCACTCTCGAAACGTCTTATCTGAAAACTTGGAGAAAAAGAAACTCAATTGGTTTAGTGTTATTTTAGATATTAAACATTTTGTGGGATGGCCAGTTATGCTGTTACCGCTGGTAGATATCAAATTAAATAGCTTCTTCCCAAGAATTATTACCTTCTGAAAGAAACCTCCAGGCAGATATGAGAATTTATTCCATCTTGCCAACATTAGTAGCAGGAGTTTTAAAGTATTTGTTTAAAAAACTACAACTAATGAAAGAAAAAAAATTCATAATACATACCTAAGCTTTTGATATGTTTGAAGTATTAAAAGGGTGACAATGAGTATACGCTGGCATCACGAAAGTGTCAACAAGTGTACGTTTTAAGATTCTAAAACTAACAATAATGTTGGCGGAGATACATTATTTACATTATTAGGACTATTGTCCTCATTTTTGTCTCCATATTTTACAACGTTTCGGCCGTTTAACACTCCGGCCTTCTTCAGGTGGTTGGAATGCCGAACTGAACCCTTTATTTCGCTCACTGGGGTAGACTTTTCTAGTTAATGGATGTCAGTTGTCAGGTATCTCCTGTTAATTACCCTATACAAGTTCTCCACTGCCTTAACCGGGTATTAAACTCACACTATTTGGGTACTGGATTTAACTAACGCCTTTATGCACTGTACCATGTGTCCTTGAGGATACATGACACATTGTACATAATACCTCATATCAGAAATATAGACAGATAGTGTTGGCGAAGGTAATCAATCTTGGATTACATTATTAATACTAACAATAGTGTTGGCGGAGATACACTATTTACATTATTAGGACTATTGTCCTCATCTCTGTCGCCATATTTATTACAACGTTTCGGCCGTTTTACACTCCGGCCTTCTTCAGGTGGTTGGAATGTCAAACTGAACCCTTTATTTCGCTCACTGAGGTAGACTTTTCTAGTTCCACGTGTCATGTTTGATGGATGTCAGTTGCCAGTTATCTTCTGTTAATTACCCTCTACAAGTTCTCCACTGCATTAACCGGGTATTGAACTCACACTATTTGGGTCCTGTCACTGGATCTAACTAACGCCTTTATCTACTGCGCCATGTGTCCTTGAGTGTACATAATACCTCATATCAGAAATATAGACAGATAGTGTTGGCGAAGGTAGTCAATCTTGGATTACATTATTAATTTTTTTTGTAATCTTCAAAATGATACAGTGACGACTAAATTTTAGAGTTTCTTTCTTTGGAAGGTTTTTTGGTCATGCCAATTTTATTCAGTACGGCTTAGTAATATATAATACTCCAAAAGGATTGTATTCGTACATGCTAAATAAGCAAATGTATGTCGGTGAAAATTTAAAAGAAATCAAAACGAGATCTAGTAATCGTCTAGAAACTAAGACGCAATTTTACGTGGTTGGATGCCGTTGTAGACTTTCACCAAATGTTAAAGACATTAGAAAGCAACGAATCAGAAAAATATTATAATCTTCCTGGAAACAGACAGCTATGGATTATGATATTTGCGTGTTGGCCATAATGGCAGCTGCCTTAGGAACTGTGCCAAAATTCACGAATCGAGTTTGGCCGAATTGATGTTTCAGAGAAAGATCTAGAACAGAGCTGACATTAACTTTGCGAGAATACCATGCAAGAGGTTAAGGATTTGCCCTTAATGATATTTTCGGTTGTAAGGAACGGTTCTTTGGGAGACAGTATACCGGTGGGGGGGTAGATAAATCGGCGAGCTGGGTTCAAGTTCCGGTTTAGATCATTACATTCACTTTCCAACAACTAAACTAGGGAATGTTATAAATCTATAATTTGTTTCCTCCCTAGCTATGGATTAAATATTAGGGAAGACTGGATTCTATATCTGAATGAGTCTGAATTCGAAACCGCATTTGAACCTAGCGTGTTACAAGCTTGAACTGTAACGAATTCTGCTCAAAATATATTCCTTATAAACCATTAATTGGTTCAATGGAATTTAAAGAGATTCCAAAAAACCTCATATGGCAGGCATGCAATGAAGATACTCACCATTCTGAAAATGAGAAATCATAATGATTTGTAATGTACTTTCAACATTCCTGTTTTTCTCCCTGAAGCTAGTTCATTGGAGATGTGGAGTATTATGCTGTTGACATAGGTATTCAGCATTGGGATAATAATAATCTTGTCTAGAAATCAGCATTCCTAACACTTCTATAGCACGCTAGCAGGCTTCGCCCAGTCCCTGTTGCTTCACAAAGTCAGATATATTCAATACTTGAAATCTTTGAAACAAAAATTTTAAATTTCATTCATAAATTGTCTTGTTATAGTTAATGAAATTTTACAAATAGATGCCAACTTGTTGGAGGCCAAGTAAAACACAAATTTCAATGGTTGCCGGTGCTGCGGACAATTTTTCCTGCTTGCTCGGGTGTAAGCGCTCGGGTCCCCAGCTTTAAAAAAATATCTTAGTGGGGAGACAGTGTAAATACCTAGTGTTTAAAATGCTCTCTTGAATGGTTTGTAACACATCTATATATCATATCCTATTTGCGTCTGTGTCTTTGGGCAGAGGGCACTCAGGGGTGACACGTCATTGCACCAGAGAGAGGGATCGGTGCTCGGACCGATGCCGGACCAACCGATGGTTTCAGGAGCTTCGGGCAATTTTTGTCCCTTACCTTTCCCATGGTTATTTACGCGGAAGTAACTGGAACTCAGGTCTCCGATTAAAATTTCGTAGCCATTATCTGTTACACCAAACGAACATAAAAGCTTACAGCACCTGGTATTCCCAAGCGGTCACTCATGTAGATACTGATCAGGCTCGAAGTTTCTTAACTTCGGTGATCGTACGAAACTGTTGTGGCAGTAATCCGTTCAGAAATGTCAAATGTAATCAACCCTTTTCTCAGATCTTAGATTAAAATAACAGACAATTGAAAGATCTTTGAAAGAGTCATTATAATTCCTAACCTCGTGGAACCTCCCTACACGATCCCAAAGAATTTTCAAAATAATACAAACCATATTACATGGGAACTTGATAACAGCAGCAAAAACTATAATTGATAGCGTATGTGACTCGACAATAAAACAGTGGCATAATCATGGTGTTGACTTTCCACACTATGCCAAGTAAAAAGTGAAGAAAGAAGACCCATTAATACTAAAAAGAGCAATAACAGCTAGTGGACATATACACGAAAATTGTTTTAACAGAAAAGTATTATAGATCACAATCGACAGTAGCATTGACTGTTCGCTCAATGTATACAGAAATTTTCCATATTAGAAAACGATTAATTTTATCATTACAATTACCATTCAAAGCCTAACATCCCAGATGATTAATGTATTGGCGATGTTCCTGCTTTTTAGCGACTTTTTTATTTTTTTAAAAAGAAACGGTATGAGCTAATTTTATATCTTTCAAAATCATTACCTGTTTGAACAAAAGAACTCAGCCATTTTTGACAACATCCCATTGGGGAGAGTAGAGTTAGAGATTTTATAGTTTATCATACAGTGACTTTAATTAACAACTAAGAGAATATCTCTGGAATTGATGAAATGCGGATGTAGTCAACGACGGATTACATATCTACCGGGAATATACTTATTTTTTGTAAATGTTGCTACCGTATCCGCAGAATATTCTCTACAGGCAACATGTGAATTAACGTGTGATAGCCTGCCATCGTCAACTGCCAACCAGGGGAGGTAACACAGTTTCGGTGGCTAAGGCAGTACTGCCACCCCTGGGGCCACCAGCATCATTTTTTTTTTTTTTGAATGCCTGTATACATTAAGCCAATACTATCGAGCAGAACCGATAATCATTCTATGGTCTAAAATTCACATAGCTACTATACTAGAGCTACACAACAAAAATGAATAATTACTACCATATCTGGGCCGGAGACTCCCAGTCCTCACTTACCGGTCTTGATAGATCTTACAAAAAGCATTTATGCGGCCCTGTGAGTGATGAATACCATTCTACCCTAAAACCACTTTTCCACAGATGGAAAATTCCGAGACCCTCGCTGCTCCGTCTCTGACATCAGTTCTGACCAGCTACATTGTTTATTCCCACCACCTCTAATATTTAAAATTGGCACCAATAATGTCATGTACACTAGGATGAATCATCCACACTCTTTTCTTATTCATATAGTCCGAATTAAATTCCATTCGGATAGATATTCCCCAAGAACAACTGATTTGGGGAACAAATTTCCGGTTGGTTGTATAGTCAATCACTACAACCCATATCTCTTCACATCTAGGATTCATTTTTATCCTTCCTATACAGTCCCAGGAACTTCAATGCTTGCTCTTTCTTACACTTATGTCATATATGAATCAATAGCGGCACTGCTGCGTCCATAGATTGAACGTGAATCACTAGACAGTGGAGATATATACCGCCATTTACTATAAATAGAGATAACATGTCACTGAATGGTGGTTACAATTATTGTGTTAACCCGGATATTAAAGTCTAGTGTCCCGTGTTTCAAGAGGTATTAGTACTTTTCTTAGCAGCTGTACGCCGTCGTGTATTAACTGATAAGTAATCAATAATCTTTCCGTTGTCATTTTAGTTCTTTGTTGTTAATCTGTTTTAATTGCGTTTGAGTTAAATACTTTATAAAATAAATAAATTTTAATAAAATATTTTACACGGTAGCATTTCTGTTATTATTACTTGTATTATGTACGTGAACGAGTTACAAAAGATTATACAATACCACAATAGTGGTTTGTGTGCCTTGTATTCGGTGAACATTACTATAAAATAAATAACTTACCTATCAAACTTCATCATCGGCCTGTGTTCATTTCTGTATGAGGAGAAGAAAAAAAATATCCTGTTTACTATTGTCTCTAAGTTTTTGGCATTTCAGTTTATAAACCATAAATTAGATTTTTCCGCCATTTCGGATGGAGCTACTAAAAATAGAAGACTTGTTTCTACACAACGCTACATTCACACAGCAAATTAATGAACATAAAACAAATATCCTAATAAATCCAATCCCTCAATATATGCAAAACTTTTATCTTTACGACTTCCCCCACTTCATAATCTTACCACGGTCCTCTCAGACATTGTATTGATTATGGGCGACATAATTGTGTAAAACATTTTCCACTCGCTCTGCTGTAATGTCCTGGGAATAAAGAAGATACGAGATACTGAAATATTTACTGACGAGTTTTGAAATCAGGCCAGGAAAAAGAAAACTACGTGAGAGGATTTGTGACGGGGAAAATTCAGACTTATTTATCGGAATGGTTTGGCAAGAAAATTTATCTTTTTCATTTGAAAATTACAAGTGTGTCAATCAATATATATATATATATAATTGCCTAATGATTGCGTTCAAGCATGAAATTCTGTCGCAGCATGGTGTTGTCTCGGTGTTCAATTTTATCTATTTATGTGCTATCTCTCTCCATATATATATATATATATATATATATATATATATATATATATATATATATATATATATATAAAATATATATTGGTAAAACTCCGTAATAACACAAGTGAATCTTATTAATATTAAATACTAAAACTGATCCACAAAAGAGAGTTCAGTATATTTATTATTGATCGTAGATCATTGTACCCCATTTTTAGGGCCATTTTGCTCGTCGGGAAAAATTCCTTGGTGCTTGTAATACTAAAACGTTTGATAAAAAGAAGTCTGTTAAACCCCTTTTTTTATCAAACCTTTTATTAGTAACAAGCTCCAAGGAAGAAAACGTTATTGGCAATTGTACCTTCATCTAGTTAATATCATACTATTATTTGAGAGATACTACTGTGTTTACACATAATTGCTCTCCAGCAAGATTTGAACCTGTGTAACCCTGGGTAGATGGAAAACGTCGTTCTCGAATATTCAGACAGGTAAACGAAAATAAATAAACATACTCTTGAATACTTAATTTCGCCAACTAAATGGATGCGTCATTTAACCGTAATATACATACAATTTACCTTGGAACGCTTATGACCTGACTCCCGTCACAAACCATATTACCAAATTAACACGGAACACAATTATTTTAATATGTCCTTCGTAGTCGGTCCCCCAAAATTGCCGGGTCCCATTTATGTTATTGTTTGCCTATGTGAGTGCGTGGAAAAGTGACTGTTAGCCAAAAAGATACAGTAATGCATTCAGATATTTAAACCAGATATTTTTAGTTATCTCTGAAGATTTGTTACAAGCATTTCCTAAACTCCCTGAAAGGTTTCAGCAGGGATATTGTCAATGAAGCCACAAAGGATCTTGAGAGAAGGCCCTGGGAAATCTATCCTCTTCTCTCTTGATGTTTTTGAAGCTATGTCTTGAAATGACACCAGCGTCTCCGTCCACTCTTGACCTTGTTTGACCTACTGGCGTTAGTTAGGGGTTTCTTATTGGGGATGTCAGCGAAGCACCGCAGTTTTATTGTTGGTACAAGAGGCTCCTATGGGCATAAAAATATTTTCACTTTAAGCCTCCCAATACAATGCATGGAGTATTTTTGAATGAGTTCTTCTGCCGTCAGCATCCTTGAAAATCGAGTGACAGGGAATCTTCTCAAATCTCGATTATATTTCTTAGGAATCTCAAAACTATAGTTTACACTGTATTGATTATCCTGTTTTGGCACGGTTCCTAAGGTAGCTATGATGATGTTTACCAATCTAACTTCATAATTCAAAGTTTGCTGTTTCCTGACAAGTTATTTTCTTAACATATCTTGCTTCTTTTTCTTCACATATCTTGCTTCTTTTTCTTCACTTTCTTTTTTCCAAGATATTGGTAATGATAACGATATTAGGCGTTTCCTTATAAGGAAACATCTGGCATTCATTGAATGAGCAGCTTGTACAACTGTCGTTTGAAATTTATAAAATATTCCACTTAAAACAATTTTAACGAGAATAGTTTTTTTTCAAGGGCAATACGTGTTATTGCCCATTCCAGCACTGATGAGGGCTTCCTTTATAAACTTTCATTTCAAGTAGCATTAGGTATATGCATTGCCTTAACGCATTGGAGTTGTAGAAATTAAAGCGATTCTATCTTTATACCTTTGTGTGAAATGAAATCACTAGTGCCACGTGGGGCCGTTTAGTGATGTCACTTCATAGCGTGCCATAAGTTCCTAGTCAGTTAGTCAGCTTCCTGGAGTAAAACGGAAAAGTTATTTTTTAACACGGACGAAACTCTTGTCTCGCCTAGATGGAGGCTACATCTACTTTCTTGCCGCCACATGGTTCAACTTATAAACCCTTGGCGTCATTCCCTATAGAAATATATCTTCACCAGATATCGAAAACATATCCGTCTTGCAAACTTCAATTTTAGGAAAAAACCATCGCTAGCCGTTGCCTGTTTGAAAGGAATATGTCCTCGCTTGCGGCATCAAAGATAAATCCGACCCGCAAAATCCTAAATATGGCTTCCTCAGAAACACAGAAGAATTTTTGGCAGTTGCAATTACCTTTAGTAACTCAATTAGAGTAGTTGTGTTTACCTCTGCTGTAGCGAGGTATTTTATTCGCAGCTCTTTGGGTCAAGTCACTTTTAGATTACTTCAACCAACCTGGCCCACTGAATAATAACTATGCCTCGAAATTCACGGACCCATGATTTAATCGGAGGACCATACTGAACCTAGAATTCTGACACCAGCCTTATGCGTTTGCTTAATTGCTAGAATTGGATCCCCTTTGCTTACGTTACTTTTTTGATACTATTTCTGCTGCTTTTGACGTTATGCTCTCGTTTCTATATAATATATTCTATTCTATATAATATTCTATATAATATATTCTATTTCTTT